TGTTTTCTCTTACTATAATATCTTACTGTAATACGAGAGCTGGAAGTGATAAATTTTAATTTATTTTGTCAAATTTATAATTTTGCCGTAGACGTACAATATCATAATTTGTAAATTAGTGCTAAAAATATTCTACAATTAGTTTGTTTACGAAATAAAAATTATACAATGAGTTAAATAGATATATCGTTATATATTATATACATTCCGGTGAGATTGCCTGAAAAATCCTGAACAGATGGAACGTAGTCGAGAAACATTTGAAGTTTATAAAGGTATCCCGATTATGGGTGCCGCATTGTTCAGCGTGATGAATAGGCTGGAGTCAGGATTACAAAGCACTCGCGCAGGGGAGCTACATCCCACGTTAAATAACGTCAAGAAAGTGGAGGCTCGTAGAAAAAATGGCGCATGGAAAGTGCGAGGTCCACGTTGTGTAAAGACACTCGGATAATGCAGCGATGCGAAAGAATAGTCGGGCGTTCGATGAGGAGAGCAGAGGAAAAAAAAATCAGCGTGAAATACCAGAGACATTGTGGATACGCCTGGTTCACGCATCTCGTGTAAATCTGCATTGAGCCCTTTCACCGCGGCAGGTGTCTGCGCGTACAACAACAGTGGCGGATACACGCGTACGCAGAAAAGTGCGAATGAGTAGGCTTTCACGCAAAGCTACGTGGCGTGTTGCCGTCGTGCAACATGGAAACACCAAGTATAGGAATGCAACGTGTGGTTCTTAGCCTGCGCAATCGATTGCCTTTTAATCAAAGTATAATTAAATGTTACATTCTGCGGATCGATTAACATGTTAAAGAATTGAGTAAAAGAGGGGGGGAGGGGCAAATAAACGCGCATTTTGTTTAACATTGAAAAAATAAAAAGTAAAAAATACAAAAGTTATTCAAAACTGTCTAATGTCTATTAAATATAATCTCGAGATGTTGAGGTAAATCAACTATGAAGTTCTCACTCTTTCTCTTCTCCTCCTCTTCTTTTCTTTAAATTTGAAAACTGCACAGGAGATTAAAAATAATCAATTTGAAAAGCAAAATAGCAAAGTATACTAAATATTGTGAGCAGAAAAAATTATGTACTGAATTCCTTTCTCTAAACTCTTTGGAGGTAAAGATTGAATTCTTCCGTAAGCTGCAGTGTCTAATCGTAGAATAAAATCTCACTCGTGCACGGGTAATCGGTAGTTTCGAACGGCTTAGCAATTTCTGGATCTCTATCGTCGCGAAGCGATCGCTGCGTGCGGCACCAGTTATCCTTGAGTTCGATCCCCTGGCCGCGAGTGTGCGTGACCGCGGGCGTGTGCACGCATGCGAGTGTGGATTCATGCGTGCGATTAGATTTATATGTGTTGACCGTGCGTAAAACGCGATTCGAATGTAATCGCGATACGCTGGCCGGTCGCTCGACCGGCCAGGCATCTCCGTAATTTGCGTGCTACCGTGTCTTCTTCCTCGAAATAAATTAGCTTGAAGCACTGCCTTTATATCCCTTTAGATCTCCAATCTGGCTAAACGCATTATTGTGTATTCTTGTAATTAGACTGTCAGATAATTACGTGTTTGAAATATAGCTCGTGGGTGACACTAATTTTGCAGACTTTGACAAAAAAAACATATTACAGCATTTTTAACAGCATCTTCAATCCAAAACCGTTGTTATCTTAATACTCGCTGTCTCTCTCTTTATTATTTTAAAATTCCTTCGCCGGTTTTAACTTAATTGTCACGGGATTAATTAATAAACGTTTAAAAAGTTATAAGAGTCCATTTTACGTTTCATTATGCGTATAATAAAAGAGTAAATATCCGTATGTTACGTAATTGTTTGCACAGACTTTGTGGCTGAATTCGTTACAGTATTTTTTTTCTGCCGCTGCCAAGCCACGATGACATTACTCATCTCGGTTTCAAGATGTCGATTTGTTCTGCGGACATTAAGTTACACTTGTACATTATAATGTTGAATAAGTATAGAAGAAGGAAAAACAGAGAAAATGAGTCGTTCGACATCGCGAAAACCATTAAACCAAATATCGCAAGTCTAGCTGGCAGAAACGAAATTTTCTCGACGTAATTCCACTAATTAAAACGCGTAATGAACATCATGTAATTATACCGCACGATAAATTTAAGGGAGCACAACATCCAGCTATTTCTATTACCACTCTTGCAAGCTTTAAACTATTCCACTTGCCTCCTAGGGATTAAATATCAACGAAAGGACACAAGGCAAAAGCCTTTTTCATCAAAGGAAGCGAGCGTCTCGTCAAATTCATCTCGAAAATCTAGCGCTTGTTTGTTTATTCCGTGGCCGCTTGCTTTTATAAAATAAATCCGCAGTGCTTCTCACTCGGAAGAAATTTTGCTCCGGCTTTCTTTTGTGCACACTATATGAGAATAAATTTTTTCGCCTCACTCGTTGTATCATATCTCAAAGCTGTTGTGTCAAAGCGTAGAGTATAAAAATTCTCTCTTCATAAAACGTATTTATGCTTTGCAAATAAAACATTAGTTTTACACCTTAAAAGCTAGATATGATTTATGCAAATTTCTTTCGCCTTACAATTACTATTAAATTAATTAATAAGCATTTTACAAGTTTCATTAGACGTATAATAAAGTATGAATACTTTGTGCTTATTAAATCTCTTAAAATTACAGTTGATAATATTCCCAAGATAATTAGTATGTTAATATATTTCAGATTAAATAAAACACTTATATATACTTTAAAAGAGAGACAGTTCACATATGCATTAATTGAATACTTTTGTAGAATAAAATAATGACAAGGAAAAATATAATAATAATAAAAGATGAAAATCCGAGTAAAGGCTGCATACGATGAACATAAACTAAAAAAAAAACCGACTAAAAATTGTTATTTTTCACATTAACAACAGCAATATCAAAAGATAATCATTAAATCCTATCAAGTATTTCTACAATGTTACTTCATTTCATGAAAAAGCATGAAAGTTATTATATTTGTAATATTTGCGAATAATTTATTTCAACGCTTTTCAAAAGTGATTTTCAATGTTCACAATATTCCGAATGATACAGCAGCATCAGCAGCTTTTCGCAACTATAAATTGTATGTCGCGTTTACGGGATTCAATGGATGGAACGCCGGTTCGGACACGTGCTTGCGAGCAAAGGTCATTGAAACGCGAGCGCCAACCGCACCTCGTTGTATCGTCATTTTCGCTGTCGAAACCGTCACGCATGAGGTGCGTCATACCATCTACGAAATGGGGATTCGCGAATGCACTACGAGCTTACATAATTCGCGCATTGATTGTCTCGGCGCGGTGAGTACCAAGGATTTACGTCGCGCAAGGATTTCCAAGCGCTTGTGGGAATATTCGATTGTCACGGAAATTGAATTCTCACAAGCAAGTCCGTAATGTTCACGATGACACCAAAAGTCCAGCGCAACGCAAATAATATATTAGTCACGTTGTGGCCAATGTGACTGACGTCACGCGTCCACGTTAATGAAGTTCCTCGCTACGGAAATACCTGAGGTGCACAGTCAGCGATTTCAGGAATAAGAGAACGTGCATCGATTTTATCCCACCTTCATTCATTTGCTTTAAATTTTTGCGGGTTTATAATAGTCCGACACCTACGGAATAAAGTTATATCTGCGGCACTTCTTCTAAAAACAATTATTTTCTAAAAACAATTCTCCCCATTTAGAAGATTAATTTATGGGAAAATAATGTAACTTTACTGTTATGCAAAGCATAGAGGTATTTTAAATTTATCTGTTCATTTTTTTGTAAAGATATTTTCACCTCTGGTAAACAAAGTTTTTCACGATGAAGTGGTATTAAAGTTCTGTTAGATTACAACGTAACTCTTCATCACGACATTGACAAAACGTCGAAGATGCACAGTTACATATTTACTCGTATATTTTTAGATATTAAGAATGTATTCTCTTTCTTTTAGAGAGAGAGAAAGGGACTCTAAACCAATATTACCCGTGACAGAATAAGCACACGCAATAAAACATAATCGAATCGAAAATTCAGAAAGGAGAAGTATTTGTAATATCTAGAAATATGCGAACAAATGTGTGAGTCACTGTACGCGGAAAATTGCGAGAGGACGAAATGAGAAATAAGGATGCACAAGGGGTGTAACCGAGGGTGAAAAATGGAAGTCATAAGAAGGGCATGCCGTCATTTCCGACGGCTGCGAATCTCGGATTTTATGAAGCGTGGAATAAACCGTCCCTTCGTGCGCCCGTTCGCAAAACGTTTAAGAGGAAAAACGTTGATGGTCACGCCATGACATGCAATTTATCCTCAACATTCATGGATTTTGTGTTATCAACGATGACAGTGTTGATACGCTTATAACTAAGCAAAAATGTTAGTGCTTTAGCAAAGAAATCTGATTAAAAATTTTTTTACAAGTTTAGGGTCCTTGCAATTAAATTATTTCAACAAATTTCAGCAAGGCAAAACGCGTGTAAATTAAAAAATGTCTTAATACACATATTATAACGCCCTCTGCTTGAAGTTTGCCTTTTCAGGACCACTGGGACATTTAAGTCCCACTTAACAAAACCTCAATGATTTGGCTTGCATTTGCTGAAAATGTATTACTTCAATAGAAACTAAAAAACCAGAAATAGAACAATAACTCGGTGGTGAAAAGGTTGAAGATCAAGTAGGTCGAGATCTCTTGGTCTGTTTCCACATTTTCACATTTAGTTTCAATTTAATTCCATTTTAAATTTCCAGAGATAAAATGCTAGGCATTAAAAGGGGAACTGTCAATGGATACAACCGTTGGCATACCGCTGAAGGATTAAACACCCTGAACAATACCGTATGGTTACAGCTGTCACGCGTGTATTGTACGCGCGCGTGACAGTATCGTCTGGTATCACCAGATACCAGTGACAGCGTAGCACGCGCAAGTAATAGTAAACGTAATGTTTGACGTAAAAACAACACCGCGACGTACCGAGAGGCGAAGACCGTTCCCAGCATGGCTGGTAGCCCTCTCGAGCGGCTGGTGGGCGGACGGGTGGTTTCCCATTTCTCTCAGACGGCGATGTTTTCGGGACGAGCAGTACCGCTCGCGTCAAATATCCAAACGCAACGGATCGTCGGCGGTTACCCGCGTATCCTTTGGTGCACCATACGCGACGTCACCGACGCCCAATGACATCCACGCTCGGCGACGCAGGTGTGATCCTCGCGATCGCGCACTTACCGCTTGTACAGAGCGAAAGAGAGAGATCGATGAAGACGTTTCCTTTTCGAATATACGCAAACGCCTCATCAAAGTGCGAGGGACTCGCTAGAAGCACTGTGCGCGAGCTTGTTTCGTTGGGTCTCAATTCGTCCACGGCTGTGGCCTTTCACCTTCTCCTTATTACGATGCAGACCCCAAACTCCCGTATTATTCGTCGAATCCCTTCGAGTGACGTTCAGATCACTTCCCATCAAGAGCGACATCAATGGTACCGGCGGAGTCACTCATCGGTCAAGCACCATCCTATTGTGAAATCGAAACTGGCCCGATCTTGCGCGACATTCACACACTCGATCTATCACACACTGTTCGCGCGTCAGGTAAGCGCCTGATGGGTCGCAGCCAGCTCCGAAACGCTCCGCGCTGGAGCTACTACTCCGCTCGCGCGTAGATCGTGGTCGACCAGGATAATTTTAGTCCAGCACAACGTCCACTGAATGGATGCCGCGAAAAGACAGAGAGAGAGAGAGAGAGAGAGGAGAGGAGAGGAGAGGATAAAAGGTAGGGATAAACGCTACTACTGGTGATGGATGTCGCGATGCGCGGAGGACATGGCGACGCGAGATGCTGCCGGCCGGTAAGAACCAGATGGACGCGAGAGAGGAGGCTGTTGCCTTCTCCTCTTTCTCCTTCTCTCTCCCCCCCGTTTCCTCTTTTTCTTCGTCTCTTTTTACCAGCGAGCTGATCCCGAACTGGTCATACGGCTTGCTCTCCAGGCTGACGTCAGAGATTCCACCTAGAAGAGTGGGATTCCGATCGGTCTCTCTCTCCGTTTCTGGTCTCGCCGCTAAGTCTTTCCTCTCTCCGACCACCTCACTCACTCACTCACTCACTCTCTCACTCTCTCCCTCTCCCTGCGGCCCGCCGCTCGCAGACGTCGCGAACACCTCGCGGATAACACTTGGAGAACCACGTATTCCACCGCACAATGCAGCCAGCGTCCCGTCTTACGTGACGATGCCTTGCGATCTCTTTCTGTTATTTTTAAATGATGACTGTCCGCGTCCTCAATACGTCTGTCGTTACAAAGAGCATCGCAAATTCCGATCGTAGTTTCCTCGCTCTCTCCGTATCGCCGGTTTTGCTGTTCCTTCCACGATCCCTTCTCTCTTTGCAGCGTAATCGTCGTTTCTCCACGAAACGCGCGACAACTTCTTCGTCGAGAATATTTTCAACGCAAATCTCGCAAACTGGTCAACTGTGTAAACGTCGGACGGACATGGACATGTGTGAGACTAGAACCAGCTCCATTCAACTTTCGAACGTGGTATTTTTACGTTTCGCGAGTGGACCCCTTTTCCCGGAACACTCCACTCACAGTATAATCAATTGAACTAACTTTAACGCGCCGCTTTAATGCACCAATTAATCACGACCGAGAGAGACTTCGGTACATTTGACAAACTCTCCTGTGAACTTCCGTCGAATTTAGTAGACGCAACACTTTCCCACCCACGTAATTGGCCGTTGAACGCAAACGCTTCCGACGAGACAATTGATGCGTCAGACACCCGAAAGGCTTGCATAAAACAAGTTGATCTCTTCCACCCGTTATTGTCCTTTTTAACGTTTTTTTTTCTTGCTGCACTCGTCTTTATCTATCGCTAATGCGAGAGACTTGCGCGCGATATCGACTCGGGATAGAGATCTTTCCCGGGTTAGAGAAGCATTTGTCACAAAGTGTATAACGCGATTATCCCCGAGGTCGTTTAGCGTGCGTCAACTGATGGGGCAGCGGCGAAGCGCGGCTACGCGGCGCAAGTTCCCACGTTTTTCCGTTAGAACCGTCGCCGTCACGCTCAGCTACTTCCGGCGACCCCACCGGAACTCAAAAGTACGTTTGATCTCTCGCGTGGAGAGCGCGGTTGAGGAGTCAGGGCGTTCGACACTCTCGCGAACCATCTTCGGGAAACTCATCAGTCACTGATTTCCACTCGAGAACGAATTTGCGCAATCGAGCGGCTCGAAAAGTACGATCGCACGACGAAGTTTCTCAGTCTATGTCGACGAGGAAACGGAGAATCAGCGAAAATATTTGCGCATTGAAAAACCGTTTCGACAATTGGGATCGAAGAGAGAATTCGTCAGGTAATCCAACGGGCGATGACGATGCCACGGCTTTCGAACGTAAACTCAACGTTTTCACGATCCAGACGCGCCATCTGGATTCACAGACAACACAGGTAGATGATTCGGCCGTACAACAATTTAATGGAGGACGCGAGGCGTGACGGGCACTTATCAATGAAATTTAAATTTCGTGAGGGCACACCGCCGCGCCGTTTCACTTTTGCCGCAGAGAACGACGCGACGCAACGTTGCGTCGACTTTCACCGTGCGATATCGATGGAGAGGAGTTTGTTTCGAGGCACAAACCAGCCTGACCGGCGGACATACGACAACCCCCCCTAAGAGACTCTAGACGCGAGTGCTGAGGGTCCAACAGACCCAGGTCGCACTATCCCACTCTGCCGTTTGTCAGGGACAGATATAGACCTGTCAGGCCCTTCCTTTAAGAATATACATTTTATTGCATCTTTCCTCTACAGTTGCTAGACGAAATGCTCTTGCGTAATACAATTTTACTTTTTGCTTGTAGACTTCTATAATCGATTTATGTAAGTTTGAGTTCCTGTTCCAAATTTGTTAGTTTCGTAGTTTTACGTTTCTTTAAAATCCCTTATCCATGAATATATATTTCTCCAAATAATAAAATCGTTTAATTTTTAAATAGTAAAAACTTATAAATTTTGTAAAATTTATATATATCAATTTTACAAAATTTATAAGTTTTTACTATGTATATTATATTATAGCTAGATATGTTTTTTTTTAACCAGAGGATAAAAATTAATAAAGATTAAAAGTGATTTTTACAGTTAAAATTAATTAAATTAGAAATTATACGTCTTTTGTTAAGCAAATGTTTTTTTTCGCGCTTTATATAAAATTTCAGGAACGTATATGGCAGAAGAGAGCCCTCTCTCTCTCGCTTGAAACCAGCCGAATAAAAATCAATCCCTCCTCTCTTCTGTAACGTGAATGCCTTGGCCCCGAGTCGGACCCAAGTTGCTTCCTCCTCCCTACCATGCGAGTCTCAGGGATATAGTTAGACTTCGCAGTACCCCGATCATCGGCTTCCGCTCCAAGTTAAATCGACGAAGCAAAACCGGTTTTTCACGTGATTGCGCCTCCCGAGAGAACGACTCGGGCTCGATTCCCCTGCGCTGGATCGGAGAAATTTACATCGGCGTTGGCAATCCGGAGATCACCGTTGCGATCTCTTGCAGATCGACGCTGGTTGCCGAGATAATGGAGATTTCAGGTCAACTCAAAACGAAAAGCCGGGGTGGATATCCGAAGTTTACGGCGGTGAGAGGAGCAGCTGCCGAGGCAAATGCTCGTACATCTGCTGAGACCGAGAGAAGTTTACCGCGGAGTCCGACGCCTCTCTTCGCCCAGAGAGCTCTCCCGTCGAATAGAATCTGTTTTTCTTTAGGATACAGCAAATCGGTGGAAAATATTTGAAAATTATGACATTCCCTGCTGCTGGAAACCTGTCCAAGTGATTGACTATCTTTAAGTTCTTTTTTCTTGTTGTGTAACTCTTAATTGGAAAAATAGGACAATTTTCGAAATAGAAAAACGTAATAGCAATTTATTGGAATTGAAACTCATCAAGAGCAAGTTTCCATACGTCAATGTTTCAAATAACAAAAGACAAAAGTAATTTATTAAATAATGATCTAACTTAAACGAATAATTTAATTAATTAATTAGTGGTATCGAGACAAATAAAAAGCTGTTGATTTAACTAAAATTATTTTAACGCTGCTGCATACAATTCAAAACTAGAGTACTTAAAACAGGAATGCATTACGCAATTCTTATTACATAATTGGAACTTTAAGCTGCACACGGCTTAAGCTTTAGTTTAACAAGGCAGATCTAGCATCTAACGGAGCATCAAAATTTTCAATGACGTGCGCCCTTCAAGCAGCTGCGATACTTGGATTTACTTTCCGCGTTTAAGGGCGCGCGACGAAAATGACGAAAGAAATCCAACATCTGCCTTTGCTCTCCTACGTCCTCCCGTACTCCTGTACTCGGATTCGAAAGCTAAACACGATATTAAATGCAGGAAATTTATTCTCAAGATTTTCTACGTTTAATCACATCAAATTTGAACTTTGATCTAGAAGGAATACTCGAAGAAGTTTTAAGGGGACGGCTAGCAATTTAATAATTAAAAACATTGGTGTTTATAATTTTATTGCAACATATAAGAAACACAAGAAACGTGACAAATATGATAAACACTAAAAAACAAGACAGTAAAACGTAAGAGCCAGTACAGTATTTCCTGCCATTTTATCTTCTACGTAATTTAATTACGAATTTCTTTTCGGTGGTACAAAAATACGAAAAGCTATTTGATTAACTCGAAGTTTTCTCCTTGTAACAAGAAATCTTCTCGTACCGAGAAAAAGACCGCGTTCTCCTTACAGTCTTCAAGAAATGTCGATGTGGATTTTTTTATTTCTACCATCGGCAACAAAAATAACCTGGACGGGTAAAATTAAATGTCTTGTCCTTCTTATTTGCCTCGCCGTACTTGACACTGTACACGTATATTCCAGAGCGAATATCATTATTTTAACACACGTTGTGGTCGTGGCCTTGTCCCTTATTTCTGCGCGCAATAGAAATCTCCGCGGTCGCCTCGAAAAAGGTCGTGAGCCGCAATCGTGCGTTGCCCAGCTGCGACTATTTCGGTCGAATTTTTTTTCAGGCACATAGCACAGCTCAGTTACGCACGTATGTACAAGAGTTTCACAATACGTCGTGGCGCACGCACACCCGGAATACCGGGGCGTTATGTGTGAGCACAGGTGTAAAGAGTAACGAACGGTAGGTGCACTTGTGTCTCGCGCGATCGGAAGGGCGACACTCCCAACATCTTCCATGAAACCTGCAACTACAGCTACGGTGACATAGGCCATTGCTATTCTGGTAGCACCCTTTTATGCTAGCACCCTTTACCCGTCGTGCGAATCACCGGACCTTTAACATCCAACTGGCAATATTCTAAAATTATACTTAAACTGAGGAAAAACTGAAAGAACACTGAGATTATCAGATATTAACCCAGATTACACAAGACACTCCTATGAACATCGTAAGAATATTCTTCCAGAATATTTGGAGTATTCCATAGGTCATTCTTATATATTTATCTTCGTAGAACATTCGACTGGCACTACTATAAATCTTTTTCGAATGTGAATAGAACAATCTATCGAATCTAGCGTGTCGGTTATATATGGTATGATCACAGGTTTCACTTCATTTTGCTTAAGATAAATGTATTACACAATAAACCATGTGCAATACATAAACTCGATGAATATTCTAAAAACGTTCTTCTTTGTTATGAATATACAATTTCTAATTGTAATAATCTATATATATTTGTAGAATATTCGATTGAAATATTCTGAAATTAAGAATATTTGCACTCCAGAAGAATATGCATAGAACTATGCATGCGTGCTACCTGGGAAAGGACAAACTTCTACTTCTTAATATGATTTGACAGGTTTGAAATAGTTATCCAAGAGTTACATTAAAAAATTCAGTCTTTAGTAACTATGATTATAAACAATATCTGTAATGGTCAGAACATAAAGCGTACAAGTCTGAAAATGAAATAAATATTGTATATAGAATATATATAGAACAAAAAATATGTACAAGTTCAAAAAACTGATTACACAATCATAAACAACTCTGAAAGCTTTGAAAGCACTCGAAATAATATAATACTCCCATTTTTCAATTTAAAAAATGTCTGTAATTGTATTAGCTTTCAGTACTCTTTTACCAATATGAAGCGATAAATTCGGTGAAAGTACGTTCTTCCGTCAAAGAGAACTTCAAACAGCATAAACTTTTAATATTTTCAAGCTGGTAAAATTGTAAAATTTACCATGTCGATAGTGTCGATACGTTTTCCCAACAAGTATCCTGTTACTATATTTTCATAATAATAATAATATTTTAACGATTGTAACGATTATATGTACATGTGAATTTTAAGAAGCATAACGAAGATATTGTCAGACATAGTGTATTCACTTACAAATTACAAGTGACCACATACAAACGAGTTCAAAATACTCGTTCGGCACAAGTTACGGCGTGTGACGTTGCGTTGATAATAACCGGTTTCGAGAACACAACATACTGTTGCAAAATCTGTTTACTACTGTATCAACAGACGAATAATTGCATTATTTTATATATGCAAGAGTACATTATGTCGCGTCAACCGTCGGTTCGCAACCAGACCGATTTATTACGATGAATACCTCATTAGAAACATACAAATTTTCATAAACTACATTTGACAAAGCGGAAATAGTAAATTAATGATTTTGCCGTTGTTGAAAAATGAAAATGAACATCCCCGCAAACATTAATTAATTTCTTTTGATTTAAAATATATCTTACTAAATATATTATCACTACACAGATAACATAAAAAATTCACGAAAACTAAAATATTATTTTTTAATTTAAATATACTGTATAATAAAAATCTGAACGTCTTAAATGAAGACCGTCACCTCTTTAATCCCTTCACGGTAATTAAAATTTCTGGCATTGAAATTTCATCATTAAAATATCGAACAATTTCGTTATAATTGTTAACGTTTATTATGACGACTTGCCAGTACACTTGAACATTTCTTCCGTTGTGCGGAAAGAGCATGAGATAATAGCGTTCTATATGGAATATACACGTCTTTCGAGTCTTTCTCGCACGTGCGTTCACGGTCGCGCCATATGGCTGTGACAAAACCACATGCCGGTATATTCCCATGCATATCGAGCTAACAGGTACTAACGGAAGCATGTAGTTTAGCGTATATCATCTCACCGTGGAGAATTTCGAGCGTAATTATCGTACTTCGGTAATTAATGAAGGTGCTGCAAGCTCTAACGTAGCTTTCGTAAACACCTTTCCGCGTGTAATATTGCGAGGAGATTATTTAAAGCTTAGACGTTCCTATTACACAAAAGGCGGAATTACAAAACAACAATATTAGACGAAGATTTTAATGAAAAATCTTAAGACTCCTATCTTCCTCTTTATTAATAGATATATGATTAACTAATCACGTTATATAATTATGTGAATATATGTCGGGATTAAAATGAAGAATTTCTTATTATGAATGCAAGGATTCAATGAATGTTATAGTGTAATAATAATTGTGTGAATTAGGTCATATACATATAGTATCGCACCTCCGAACGATTTTTATTGTCAAGAATTGTGATGAAAAATTGTTAGATCTTTGCCACATTTAGCCATCAGAATTCTTCGTAAAACAAATTGGAAATTCTTTTAACAGTTTGGAGAAGAGCTAGAATTTTATCAGTATCGAAATTTCAAAAATGACATTCTAACTTCACAAAGAGGGAATCATACAAATTTGCATGGAATCCGATTAATATCGCGGTGAGATTGACGAGGGAAACCGCGATAATACGGTGCCCGAGTCCCAGGAGTCGTGTTCTCAATTAAAATTTATCCATTACGAGTATCCGTTGACATACCGTTAATAGGTGGAGGCGATGGAATGTTTGATGCGTTGAACGTGTTTGCTAGCAACGATGCAGAAATTACGCGTTTGCTTTCAATTTACGATTAAATGTTAGCAGGTCAATTCAAAGAATTAAATCCTTTGATCGTATATTTAACATTCTCCAATATTACGTGCGTATGCGATTAAACCATATCGAATCAAGATTTCAATGTCATAAATAAATTGCAGTTATTCGAAGCAGACCAGCGTGGCCCTTAACATTTCTTTCTATTCCTCATTAACACATATTTGTTTCTTATAAAATAGTTTTATTAAATTTATTATTAATTTTTGGCTCCTTTCCGTATAATTAGAGTTATTGTTGTTACAATTTAAAGAATGAGATAACTAATAGGTTTCCTTGGGAGGTATTCATTACGCAAAAGTCTAATGTCAACGCTTGATACGCATCATATGTCATGTGGCGTAATCATGTAGGGCCTTAATAAAGAAGTTGCTCTTGCAACTAGAAAAATGTCTTATTCGTGTTAATAACACCGTGTAAGTTATACAACGAGACCTTATTCATCTTACTCGGTTGCCTTTGTTTTGAGCATGAGTTTCGCCGGTTAAGAGATTGCGCGCTAATGAGCGCTTTCTTCTGCCGTTGCACGCTTCTTACCACGAATCAACTGTGATTCAGCAAATTAATCATGGCGCAAACTCAATTTTCTAAGCATTATCCGATGGGAAGTTATTCCGAATGGACAAAGATATTCGTGAGAGTTAGTCGATAAAACGATCTCGGTTTCGATTACCGCAGGAAGGCGGAAGAAATTGAAATCACTCGATAAGATGTCAATTTCATTCCTATCGATTTTTTTTTCTTATTTTACTGTCACTGTAAAATAGAAAATGCAGAAGATGATGAAGGATCTGTCATGGGAATTCTGAGTCAAGGCCCCATAACCGGCCCTTCTCGCTGGTGTACGCGGTTCGCACAATAAGTGCCGCGCAACAATGGAGCCACGAAGAGCATTGTTATTTGTACACGGGAATAAACGAGCATACACGCGCTTAATCGCGACGTGAAATCGGGTTATGGCAATTAACGAAGCATAACGTTTCGTCACCGACCTCCCGCGCGTCGTTAAACGTTGATTAGATAGGCAAACTGATCCCCGAGTACGATCAATAGAACGACCGTTCCGTGGACATTGGATAATCGGCAGGATAACGGATGGTTCGACATGTGAACAAATCCGAAAGGCTGGGGTATGCTTTACGTGATGCATTCGCGGTGCAATTTCAATAGAAGTTATTGAACTTCGTGCCGATGATTTAATCAGCCTACAATAATAGTCCGATGATCAACTTATTCCCTAATTAACACTAGAATTGTTAGCAAAATATATTTTGTCTGCTTAACTGATAAATAAAGACACTTGCTTATTCAAAGGCTTGAAATTTTGAATTGAAGAAGAAAGAGAAGGCAAGAATGTTTCTATAACGCTAAAAGAAAATTATGCACAATGAGTTATATGTTTGTTCGCATATTTTTTAATATAATTTTTAAGTATAAGTGTTTATTTCACTGTGTTCTGCATTTATTTAATAAAAGTATAGTGTATCTTAGTTTCCAAAAAAAATTCTTACCTAAAAGTACGTAAACAGATATAAATTTTAATATTTTCTCTTTTAATGTGTTCTGAAAATAGGGGAATTCAGTATATTGAAATTTAATCATTCCGTAATGCGGATTTTTAAATATATTTTTTAAATACGACAAAAATTCGATATTTTAATTTTTATTCAAAGTATATTTTCCATTATTAATTTTAACTTCTTCCCAACTTTTTTTATTTTTAAATTTTCAATTCCCTGGCAAAGAAAGTCTTTCAATATTGAGCTAAAGAATAAATCAAGCCTTTTTACCACCATTATTTATAAGATGTTTCAATACATTTAATAAGAAAACTTTGAACAAATTTTAAATAAATTTATTCTTAAAGTTGATTAAACAAATTAAATAATTTAAATAATTTAATTTGTGGTAGAGTAAATTTTAGTATAAATTATCTCAATAATAATATGAAGATATTTCTGTAAAATTATTTAGATAATTGTACTTGAATATAGTTCGATAAATAAATAGTATTACTTTTGCATCTAACTTACATCCCTTTGATCTATGTTTCCACAATTTCGTATGTTTTGCATGAAGAGCATATGAAGTATCGTGCACACATGTCATCGATATGTACAGGAAATGAATCAGAACGGATGAACAGATGTGTAGATTTTACTGTCTATTGTACCACTACCCTATTCAACATTTGTATTTTTACGGAAACACGTAGGATTAAAAATAAAAAACAATAGCAAGATATGCTGTAAGTTTTAAAGTATGCAAGGCGGATAGAAAAATAGGTAACTTACCTAAAATTTTATAATGTACGCCAGACTAATGGCTTCTTCCTGAAAAATATAAAAATTATATATATTACACATTTATAATAAAAGAAGAATTACTTCATAGTATAATATTATTAATATACGCAAATTATCTATGTCACAAAGGTGATATTTCATTTAAAATATTTCATTAAAAACCTAATTTAAAACTTCTCAAAAAATATTTGCAACAAATAAAAAACTTCTTCATAAATATAAAATATATATGAATTTATGTACATATAAATATATTCTTGAATTAGTATGGAGAATGAATTAATAAAACTATAATTAATTAAAATAAATAATTTATAAATTAATGTATAATATATTAGTAAAAGTTTCTAATATGTAATGCTAGCGTGCACAAAAATAGTAAATACGTAGGTAATACATTAATGTAAGAATTATGGTTACGTATTTAATTGAGCTAATTGCCGGAAAAGTATTAATTAAAGAACGCTTTGTGCCATCCAAATGTGTTCCAAGTTCAAAATTAATTATCCCTTGATGACAAAGCTTTATATGACAAATAATGGTTTTGATACCGCTACTTAATATACGAGCATCATAGCAATAATAGCAATTTATCGTTTTATATGAAGGAGAAAGAGAGGCAGACGGTTTGGATTTATTGTACAGGTATTATTATGAAATTTGATAATTATCTGGCCAACATGCGTGCAACGTACTCCGTAGAAAACTGGAATTGTGTCTGCTATAGCATTCTCTGATTCGGAGGAGGGAAAAAAAATATATTCTCATTGGATTGACTCGGTGCGCGACTCCCAGGCGAGAAGACTCGTCGCCGATTCGTTACAAAGGAATCCCCGAGCTACTTGAACGTATACGTGCCCCATAAAAATGTGCGCGGCACTTTATATCGGGCGAGACCGTTCCCACGACACCCCGTGCGCCTCTCCTATGGGAATATTTTATAGGGGTGAATTTGTACGTATACGAGCGCGAGCACGTGCGTATGCGTGCATACGTGCATCATACACACGCATGTCTCGTGAGGCTGGTTCTAACGGTAATCAACGTGCTCGCATTTTCACCGACGGGATACACTGATCTCAATAATACGCTTTGTTATCAATTCCAATGCATTCCTACTCTCGCCAATTAATTTAATGTGTCAGAATTCGTAACTTTATTTATCATAAAATTCCGTTCAAAATTTGAGTTTTTCACCTGAGATATATCGTATCGTAAAATTATGGTGAAAGTAATTTCCACAACAACGAGTTTTGTTTTTTTCCTTATCATTATTTTTTATCAGATATTGGACTGATTAAATCAGTCACGCATATTGGTACAAGTGCAATCTAAATACATACTCATTTGCATATCTCGAAGATACACAGAAGATTACAGTTTTATATAAACCCGAATATCGCTTTGGAAAAATCTTTTGGTAAAAGTCGTAACTGAAGAAACACGGAATCGGAGAATGTTGAAATTCACTATCATACTTGCTATCTTAAGCTTTGTAAGTATATTATATTTCTAAATACAAGTCAATTTTTAAACAATTTTCGCTAAAAAAATATTATTTTCAAGAAGTGTCACAAATATATGTAAGATATACTGACAAACTTCATTAATTTTGCTAGAAAGGAACTTCAATATGTACGTCTTCAAATTAAACAATTGTATCGTTTTATCTTTAATAAATTTTGCAATTTGTTATTGTTCTTGTAAATTATGTACATAATTTTATAAATTACAATTGTAGAATGATTTCTCCCCAGACAAATGCAGCAACGGCGCCAACGGAAGATTCGAAAGATCAGTTACTGCTCATGATTTTAGAAGCAAAAAATCGAGCATTTAATCAGATACAAACGCTAAAACTATTAGCAGCCACTGATGTCGAGAAATTTATTACTCGTGTGAATGAGATGGTAGAAACGGTAAGCTTTAAGTCACACTAATAAATTATTTGTTTTTAAGAAACACTTTCTAATCTCTTAAATCATATTTGCGATATCAGATACAAATTCCCTGACTGAAAACTTCTCAATTACAGGCTCGATCTGATATGGAAACTTTGAAAAACGAGCTTGGCAATATAAATGATACCTCCTGCGAGAAATCGAAGAACAATATAAATGATTATGCTTTAAAGACTATTGCACACTTTCAGTCATGTGTAGAAAAAGTAACTGATTCTGCGGATGCAGACATGAATTCCTTAGCCTTTGAGGGAAGTCTCCTGACGAAAGAAATTCAATATACTGAGGTAATTATCTTCTTAAAAATTTCCTTTAATATACATATATGTATATTAATTTATATTTGTGAGTATTAAAAAAAATACTTTCAATATATATTCTAATTCTTCTTATAACTAAAAGTAAAATAGTAAGGAAGAAAAATGAGAAAAACATCATAGAATTAATCTGTGAAGTAGGAATATTATTTTATTCAATTAGTTTATTTATGTGAAACAAAAATATGTCGTACTGCTTCTATAAAAACCCTTTTCTTTAAAAGAAAAAAACTTTATTACTAAATAAGTTAATGTTGTAACTAAATAACTGAAGTAAATATTAAATATATTAATAGAAATTGATGATTTATTGTAGACCATCAACAAGGAGTTGCTGCATAAAGTTACCGACTTTGAGGCAAAATCTTTCCAATTCGCAAAGTATATGCAAAAATTGGAAAAATGCGAAACTCAATCAAACTTACCACGATTCAAACGGCAAATCTCCGAAACTTTGACCAGCTACAAACGATGTCTTCAAGATAAATGAATAATCTTTATTAAACTTTTACGAAAACATAATTTAACGCAAAATTTTCATTTATTTTAAAATAATTTAATTTTGGTACACTGTTGAAAAGTTATGAAATTTAATTATTAAGAAAAATATTATGATGACCTATTATTTAAAGGGTTCAGTTTTACTTACAAAATGACATAAGCAACTGCATACATGTATGATAGCTGTATTAATGGTGAATATCAATATTGCATTAGCAATATTTCAAGAATATTTTTACTACTTTATCGTCACCATATGTAATAGCTCTATAGCTGCCTGCCATTCCTGCATACTTAATTACCAACAAAAATAAAGTTTATTCAATATGTTTTTATAATTCCCGCAGTATTTATTCAATATCGTGGAATGCCGCAGATATGAAGAATGTCCTGTGACATTTGAGAACTGCATTAATTTAATGACAAGTTTTACTATTTGAAGATGTTAGATTAACAAATACAAATAATTGACTATATACATTTAAGCATAAAAATCGGCAATAACGTAAGACAATTACTTCAAGTTGAAATTGTTAATTATATCGACATTACAAAATAATTTACAATTAATTATCTTCATCACTACAAAGATTAACACGGGGGACGTATATTCCGTCACAGAATTTTATAACGTCATCGAGAAAACTCATACATACAAAAAGAGTTGCAAATTTATGTACATCGTAAAATATGACCCGATAATATCCGATTTCGAACAATGACACAAAAGATTACTGTGTCATTCACATTATACTTCTATTAATATCTTTAATTAAAAATTATTGTATAAAATTGTACAATAACGTTTCAATATGGTTTATTACACTTGGTAAAAACAGATTGTTTACATTTATGCAAATATACTGCTACTGACAGAAATTAATGGTTTTAGTAGTAAAAAATAATTATTCAAAGAAATTTCAACTTCCTTGATTTTTTAAACAAAATTTTTAATTAACTTTAATATTTGGAATTTTTTTCTTAATGTTTTAATCTTATAATGAAAAGGTTTATTCTAATATGTGGGTTTCTCTTTGCATTTCCAGTTCAACTCTTCCATAATTACAAAAAATATGTATACTTGTAATAACTTTAAAGTAACAGTAATTTTTTTATTTTTACAATATCTATTTTGTGAATAATAAAAGTATTACGAATAAAACTTATTTGACCAAATATCATTAAGCACGTGACATTTTTTGTGAGAAGTCGTATTCCATAAATCTCTCTCAAAATTTATGTATTTCATTATTACACGACAAAATAGGCTGATCTAATAGTCTTAGTTGCATATTCATATATCCAAAGTATCTAACATTATCAAAACAAACTAGATAATAAATATGGAGCTACAGTCAAATATACTGTAACGATTGCTGTGTCACTCATTGTCAGTACAGACGTTACAGTCCCGAAAATAAATAGCAAAAGTCATAATAATTAATTATAACGTTCCCTTTTGAGTAATGTACTTTGTTCGTTACAACGATTTTTTACTCTTTAGTTAATTAGAATAATTGCATATTGAGGTAAGTATTCGCAGTATGACAAGTTAATTTGCATATCGCCATGATATCCTCTAGAAGTTGGAAGCGAATATCTTATATAAACGCGAATTTTAGTTTAAAGAGAAGAGTGTTCCAGAAGTCTCAAGACGTATTAAGCCAACGTTAAAACAACAATGTCTAAAATTACCATTATAAGTTGCATCATCGCAGCTGTCTGCGTAAGTTTTTCGATTCCAAAATCTAGAACAGTTGTTTGGATTATACAAATTTAACGTCCATCAAAAGTTGTAAAAATTTTGACAAGTTTTATGTGTTATACATTTCTCTATAATTTGAAAAAATTATGGATATATATGGCGCATATGTAATGTATTAATTAAATTATTTCTTTACTTTTCTAGGTTTTCCAGACAGCAGAAGCTGGAATTTTTGATAAACCCGTGGGTTCCCTATTCGGTGACATGCAAAAGAAAGTTACAGATACAATTGGAGAAGTACAAGATCTTGGAAATAAAATACAAAATCGCGGACAGGAAATAGCTGAGGGCGTAAGACTTTATTTAAATTTGACTACAGTAAAACGTAAAATATAAATATCAAATAACGTAAGAATTATTTGATGCCAGTACATGATTAACCAATGTAGAAAAATTTATAGACGACGCTAGATTGGCAAATTTTAACTAAAGACATTTATTGCGAAAAATATTACCACAGCCAGGGTTTGAGCCTCAGTGGTCGAATTGGTGAGACCTAGGCTCGCCTAGGATGTAGAGAAGTCCAGGTTCAAACCCTGGCTCAGGTAATACTTTTCGCAATAAATTTCTTTAATTAAAATTTGCCAATCTAGCGTCGTCTAACAATTTTTCTACATTAATAAATATCAAATCATACTAGTAACTTATGTTTGTATATCATCCCAGGTTTATAAATAAACAATTTTAACCTCAATTTACATTGCGAAGCAAAAATATTACATATTTTTACTTCAGTATTTTGTAAAATACATTCATGAAAGTGGAGGGTCCATATTTGTTATTCAACGATATACTATATTATATTTTTGAACTGAACTACTTGTGTTTAATCATATATATTAATTTTAAATGGCTGATCTATACCAGTCATTAAGAATAAGTAGATAAGTAAAGAGATTTAATCGTTTAGCAATGCTGATAAACATAGATAATTCAGATAAATGGTGTTCATAAAATTAAAGTACAAATGCAAATAATAATTACGCGTACACTCTTACAGTCTCACCATCTAAATCGCATGATTTATATTTTATAAAGTTAACAGGAAAAATTTACCTGCTTCACAAGAAGTATTAAATATGTATATTCAGTAACTGGTGTTTCAAACAAAATTCTAAATAATATATTTTCGGTTTATTTACCTTGGAATGCAATATGATTAGTTCTCATTGTACCTTAAAAAGTTCAATTTCATATAGAAAATTTTAATGCAATAATTAAAAAATTGCATGTTGCTAAATTTTAATAATTTCTATTGACAGGTGAAAAATGGAATTCAACAATCCCAAAAACAACTTGAGACTTCTACAGAATGCACCACCGCGTACAACGAAGGACAAAATGCTATCAATGAAATATTGACGTCTTTTGATACCTGCCTTGAGAGTAAACTGCATGTGACCAGTGACCAATTTAATAACTTTATTAAGGCAGCAGAAAATTTCGAAGAAAGTGCATCAAAGGTTTATCAAGATGGTTACAATTGTTTGGGAACTACGATGACCGCGATTCCATGCATACTTAACGTAAGTATATGTCATCTGATTATTAACTGTCTTAATTCTTAAATTTTTTCATTCTTTTTTGACAATCTGTAAATATTTCTTATAATAATATAAAACAACACTAGTAATATTAAAAAATATACTTTTGTACCCTAATCTATTGAAGACGTTTCTTAAATTATAATTTTTAAAAAACTTTTTAAAAGAAATCGAACACTTTTTTCAGGTATGGGAGCAAGAGGTTCCTCAACTGCGTCCTCTAGCAGAGGAAACTTTGGTGGCGGCAACTGAACTCGCCGGAATTTTCCCGGATATAAGAGAATGCTATGAAGAGTCGTTCCAGAAAGTAGCCAAAGAAGTTGCTCCTAAATTCATCAAAAACGCGCAACAATGCCTCAAAACTGTTCTTCGGCCATTCGCATTCTAAATCATTTATTGATTAATATACTTCAACTTTTAACTATATTTTACAATATACATATATGCACGATATTGTATATGTATATAATATTGTGTTTATTATATTGTAATATGTGACACGTAAATATATTACACATATATTACCACTGCGAGTGTTGTACGATACCAAGATTTTTTCACGTTGCACATATTTTTCAAAATAAAATATAATCAGTAAATAATAACATTTTGGCTGTTGTATTGAAAAACTATATTATATAAATTACCAGTACAAATTTAAAGAGCTCAAATTGATTAATTTTAATACGTTTATTACGCATTTTTATAGATCGTTTAAAATATTATATACTTGTTTGTTAATAGAAGCAAAACTTTGCACAAAAAATTTATTTAAGAAATATAAAAAAACAGAATTTTCAAAATACAATTTGTCAAAAATAATAAGAAAATATTTATAATTAATTCCAAAAAATAAATTTAAACTTCTTATCCTAGTAGCATAGTGCATTGGCTAAACATTGACCTAATATTGGTCATATTAGAAATATGGCCAATATTTCCCAATATAAAGTCATAAAAATGCAAATAATGTATGATAATAATTATATAATATTAGATTTATATTGCAATTGCGTTAGCAAATCTTTAACAATGTAATATGAATATTGATACAATATTAGACCAATATTATTGAATAGACATATTGGTCTAAATAAGAGAAAGCATCCATCTTACAATATTAGACCAATGTTGGAAATATTAGATTTACACACATTATTTCCCAATATTGCGCCAGTGCTACTAGGGTAGATACAATCAGTAAATATAAATGTGTGACTGACAGGCAAAAGAAAGAGTAAAATGGAGGGAGAATGCGAGAGAGTGTTTAGTTGAATAAAAAACCGAAAAACGAATGAGTGAATGAGAAAATGAACGAGAGAATAAAATATTCAAAAGGAAAATATCACGGACTTGTGAACATTGTGTGCGACACAAAACGGTCGGATAGGTGCGGCACGACGACGCGACGAAGAACCGATCAATGTCACCATTGAACCACAACGTTCATATTGTTTTCGTTACAGGAGGCTACATAATAATTAGACTGTAAAAGAAACACTGTTTTCTAACAATAACTGCGTTGAAGTCAATCTGAAGGCACTATTTCATATCTCATTTTGATGAAATTTGTATTCTGTGTTAAATAACGATAATTCTTTCTTCGCAGAACAATATTCACTCATTTTGCGTACATGAAAAGTATTACAAACGTTACGATCGCGTGCAGGAGCAAGTGAATCAGACACCATTGCTCCCCGGTGATTGCCACACGATTATTCATCAGTAATTGAATAATCGTATTAATTATAATAATATTACTCACAGCAGGAAAGTACAAGCAGGAAGAGCAATACGAACTGCGAATGCGTCATAAAAAATAGAAAGTGCAAAAAATAAAAAGTATTGTCAAATAAGTAAGAAATTATTTTTAAAATCGAAAGTGCTATTATATAGTTAATGACTAGTAATTGCTTGCAGTCATTGTAAAAAGAAAATTGTCGATAGAACAAATTATTTGCTATTCTAACAGATTTCATTAATTATTATACATTAATTATTATACACAAGGTGTGCCAGATTTTAATTGCGAAATTGCATCAATGTGTTCTATAAGTAAAAATAACAAAATATAAGCATATAGATTTATGAAAGCGTTATTAAAAAGCTTACAGAGATATAAAAGTGGCAAGATAAAATCTAGCAATCTTACAATTAGAGACAAAGAGATCTTGCCGGATAACCATCCAACTTTATCTACCTGCTTTGTGTTCATTTAGAAAATTAAAAACGTTTACTTTCGTAAACGTTATTCCATCAGTTCTTAGAATTCTTTGTGAAAAATACTTATCTTCTGTACCGTATATATATGTATAAACTCCATGGAATTGTTTAGATAAAAGGTGAAATTAATCCAACAATCGCCAACAACGTCGACAAGAACGACTGATGCTTCGAAATAACATACCAATACAATTATACTGATATCCTATTAATAATAAGAGTAGGTTTCTTTCGTTCGCAGCAATTAATTTTTGTATTGTAATTGCTTCATTTATTAATCATAATTTTAAAACTTCTGTATTTATATAGAATTTATTGGCGCAATTAAAATCTGAGATTCCTCGAGAATTTAAGCGCCTGTACAATCTAGTAAATGTAAGTAAATGTAAATGTATAAATGACAAACAAAATAACGAATGAAATGAAGGGAGAATGTGGGAGTATCTCGTAGAATAAAAAAGAATGAGAAAGTGAACAAGAAAATGCACCCAAGGGAAAATCACAAACCTGTAAGCATTGTGACGAAAGAGAATTAAAAATAATAATCTTATATTTTTTTCTATCTTTATATTGAATATAGTTTTGCAAATTTTAAAAATTAACGAAGAAATCTTGTCATTTATTTTCTTGCCTTGAATTTTAATTATTTCGTTAACTAGCTCTTTCATGCCATATCTTCTTTTAATAACGCGCGCGTTTTATAAAAATTTTTAATAGTCAACACTATTTATGGTAACAAAATTTTTATTAATATAACAAATAAAAATATTTTTTTAAGAAATTTATTTATCAAAGTTGCGAAAATATAATTAGATTGTTTATTGTATTAAATATTGCCACATGTCTCGGTGGTCGAATTGGTGAGATGCCCGTCACGGTATAAGAGACGTCTAGGTCAAATCCTGGCTGAGGTAATATTTTTCGCAATAAGTTTCTTTTCATTAAATTATAGCCAGTTGTGTCGAATTAATTTTCTGAAATTTATTTAACCAAATTTTACTGTCATTCCATGAAACTGATTCTGTAACATTGGATAAATTAGAAAATTGTTTATAATGGCAACATTTAATTTTATATAAAGTCATATCTGTCACGGTTTGCACTATTTTTACAGTAAATCTTTAATTATATGAATAAACATCTCAAAATACTTGTAACTGTTAACAAAGTGTAGTAAGGACTGGCAACAAAGCAAAGCGTGAATAAAGTTCGTCAACCTCCTTTTTGAGTCATATCTTCGTCACTGCACAACGCCTTAGTACAATCAAACCTATCTACATCGCATCGTAGGAATAAATGGTTGCCTATAGCACAGCGCGTATACCTTGACATTTACTCATTACGCTTCTATGCAGAAATAAATATTGCAAATTTCTCATTTAAAATATTATTTTTTATTAACGCTTTTAATAATAAAGAACTGTTAAGTTTTCTTTCATTTAAATAGCGTAATATTTCAAAAATAAAAATAATTATAAATAAAAATATTTAGTTTTCCTTAATTACATTTCAATTAAATGAGATTTCTTTAATTTAGAAATATCATAAAGTTAAACCCGTTTGATGTCTGCATTAATAAAATAATTCACAATTCAATCTTTATTAAAAAAAAAAGTTTCTCGTATTTAGAAAAACCTAGAAAAAAGGAACTTATAATAGTAATTAAGAAAGGTATCTGCTTAGAAATATCTCTTTGATTAGCATATACATATAAGCCCCGTCTAATCCATTTCAAACTGCTATTTGTCGACTCGTTTTCCTAAGTACGGTAATTCTCGAAAAGAAGATGGTGTTCGTAATAATGAGAATATGCGTGCTCGTACTCCAGAACCTTCAGAGATTATGCATTTTTCTTTTTAACAAAAAATTGTATATTAGCACCCTTTTTAATTAATACCAAGCCATGTTTTATGTAATTCAACCAGATACGTTACGATGCTTAACTATTTCTTTCATAAATGGTAAATGTCAAATAAAAAGAATTTAATATTAAAATCTTATTAACGTGCAAAAGTATATATGCAATTTCCTGATAAATACAAGAAACTTTCTAAGATAACTTTATTAATCGCTTTTAGTATTTGTCTTATATGTACATATGCATACTGTGAAAGATATAAAATATATTCCACACGTTCATATTAAATCGGTTAAATTCTTTGATTTTTATAGAAATCTTTTTACTTTTGTAATTACAAATTTTCTACTTGTAATCAAGACTAAAGTATATCTTTTAAACCTTGATAAATATTATTGGTGAAATTTTTTGGCATTACGTATAATCCACATGTTACTTAAAGAGTTTATGCAAATTTTTCTAGATTTCTTTAGATTTAATTCATCCTTGGAAAATTTTTTATTTGATTTCTTTCTGTCATTGTAAATGTACCACTAGGTACGAATATTAGAAAATAAGCACCATATACACATACATTCCACGTCTGCGCGACAGTTTCACGGTATTACCAAGAAGTGTCGTGAACGAGGATGAAACCGCAAATCCATGCAAACCACGAGATACGGTTGCAAAGTCGGCGTCGAGCTGATAAAATGAAAGTCTACTCGCTCGCTGCGTGTAAATGTTCTTAATTCTTGTTAGTAATACAAGAATAGTAAAATAAACTAATATTACATAACAAATATTAAATAAACAAATATTAGGGGATTGTTAGTTTTTTGCTTTGTGAATTATATTATTTTAACAAATTAAATATTTTTCAGTTATCTTGTATATTTTTATCAAACAAAACTTATTCTTCAAATATAATATTAATAAATTACAAATGAAATTGACATCAGGAAACCGTCATAAACAATGAAATTAATGATTTAATCTAATTATAGATCAATTGTTTCTCAAATGTCTATTAATTCAACAATTCATCTGTTTTCATCTATAATTTCAATACATCGACAATTAGAATCTATATTTTGTGTAATTTGAATATTGTAAGAACTATCCTAAATTTTCACAATTTCTGCAAAAAGTATTCGTACTTTTATATAACATATTAAAATGCATAGCTAAAGGTATCACTTATACAATATATCTCAAAGTAACAATTATTCATTTATTCCTCATATGTTTTTTCCATATTTTTATATTACTGAGAGTATCCATATTCCGATATTTTATCAAATAAATTGTTATAATTGCTTTTATCAATTTTACAATTGTGGTCAATTTGGCCGATATTAATTAAAAATGGCTATTATTTGTAATTTATTAATTTTAATTTTAATTTAGTTTGCACGAAATTTCTTCTATAATTCTACAATACGTTTTTTGACATAAATATTTCCTTTATAAAATTTTTTAGATTCTTAAAAAACAAACTGTTTCCAAATCATTAAGTTATCAATATATTATAACAAATAAGAT